TTATTCATCGGAATAATCCTGTTGGATTCAATCATTAAAGGCTCATTCATGCAAAACCCTTGGGCTGGTGGTAGCCCTTTCACTTAGCTCCAGAAGAAGGTTTTCCCAGAGCTCAGCCTCATAACTGCACATAGAATTGAGAATTACACCATTTGCATGAGAAAAGGTATGAAGTACAAGCTCCAAATGATCCTGTAGCAAGTTTCAATAGATTTGAGGAACAGCACAAGAGAAGAGAAAGCTATCTGTACCCTTAGAGATACCTCTCACAAATCTAAGTACTTAAGTTCAAAGTCTATACACAGTTGACTTGTGTAAGTAGAACAAAATATGACATCTAAGTGTCATATTCAACAAAAAACCCAAGATCCCATTTCCCAGAAGTAACAACTGCAACCTCTGAAGCTACTGCTTTGCTGATAACCTAGCTTCAGAAAAGTAGCTAGTTAATCAAACAGGAAAAAGCCATGCACTTCTAAATTTACAGGTGAAATATATAATGATAGAATATTTCAGGGTCTCGTTCTTCTGTCACATAAGGGAACTTTGGCTTTTTGTTTGTTCCTTTTAACCTTCAGTTTAAATATTTAAGTGGAATCTACTGCTTAGTCCAATAAAACTCCAGTTTGCTCACATTATCTAATTTATTCAGTTACCTTTCCTACTCCAGCCAGGACATCTCTATCAATTGTGGTAGATCTACCAATCTTTGCCTTCTGAGAATTATGGCAGATGGCCATAATTAAATTATTATAATATATATATATATTTAAATAAAAGAAATTAAAGACTCACCATAATTTCTTCTACTAATACCCATTTCCCAAGTAAGGTTCTAAGCACAAGGCAGCATCTTCTTCGTTCTTATTTCCTCACCACTCGTGCTCTTGCCCATTCTGAGTCACTGGTTCACTAGAAGGTTAAACACACCACGAAAAGTGAAAGAGCTACAGCAGAAAGAAACGAGGGCACCCCCGACCCAGGTCAGCTTATGGTCACTTTGGGAGATGCAAACTGAACTCTCTTCAGGAAGAGACAGCAACTGAGCCCTGTTTCCCAGTTGGCCCTTTTAAAGCACAGCTTGGATAAACAGGAAGCATGGGTCAAGTCCAGATTTTGGGAAGTGAGAGAAAAGAAGGGATGCCTTGTTACCTTTCCAACAGAACCCATCTGTGCAACATAGCGTGATCACACAACCCTTCCAAGAAGGATCACAGCTGCTGAGCCTTTTCTCTGAAATCAAAAGACATGAACTCTTTCTTCATTTTTGAATGACCTACCTTAGAGCTTTTTGGTGCAAAGTATAGGCAGGAGAGTATTTCCTCTCTCAACACTGCATAAAAGGTCTGTGATAATCCTGAAAATTGTAAGCTGTTTTCTCAAAAAAAAAAAATCAATCTATATTTTAGGGGACTTTTTATGCATTTTAGGGGACTGTTAATTCCAGAGCTGTAAATTTTACTAGAGGATAAGCAGCTTCAAAGTCAGCGTCTGTACCAAAATCATATTTTAGGTTCGACTTTTAGTTTAGATCACCTGACATCTACAACTGATAGGCTGGACACAGATGAGCAGGACCTGGCTGAATTAGGGACCTCAGCAGGAGATGAAGCCAAGCTCTTTTTATAAACACATCAAAGATGTGTTCATCTTCTTGTAGGGCAGACACTTAGAGCACATGCACTGCCAGCCCAACCTGCTGCTGTACATCAGTCCGTGTTTTACAGCCACCTGTGGCTGATGCTGGCAGACGAGTTCTTACAGGCTTTTTCTTTAAAGGCTGTGAACTGCTGGATTGCTCAATTCCAAAAGCAGGAGGCTTGGAACCAAGATGTTTGAAAACCCTCTGGGTTAGATAGCAGGGTACTTAAATTCCCTTTTGGTCTTGTGCCCAAAAGAGAAACCCTCAGTGAAAAGGGAAGATGAGTAAAAGCCCAGTTGGTGAAAGAAGTAATTCATGTTTACACGAGACACAGTTAAGGATCTCTTAGTCACAGAAAGTTGAGAGGCCATAATTTGTACTATTAGCATATTCTGCTGAGTGATTTGGGCAGAATGCTGTGGGAAATGTTTCAGTATCAAATTTACCCCTTAGAGTCGTGTTCCAGAAGGTTTTTTTTCAATATATGATCCAAGTTGTCTTCCTAGATGAGGCAAATTAGACATACAGAGAAAGAAATCACATAATTTCAAGTAAAAAAAAGAAGCATTTCTGAAGACCCTCCCTGTGGATTAGCATACAGAATTGAACAAGGTATGACATTTGTATTTCACCTTAGGAAATAGCAGTTTTCTAGCTTAAAACATAGCCATGATGACCCAAAATCTGCCCAGTGAGAACTAGTGATACAGCCTCAGCAAACTACCTAGAAAAATTTGGTTGCAACTTTGTTATTGTGAGAGAGATCAATTACCCTATTTAACAAAGAACACACAAAAATCTTTGGTATTATATCACAACTATAAAATATTTTATTTTTCTCCTATCTTCTGTTCCTACCTTTTGAATCATTTCTTTCTTTGGTTCAGTGGGTCTATTCCTTTTGAATTATTACACTATTTTCTTAAAGTATCCCTGAAATTTGTGACTGGGTCTGTAGAATATAACAGTAAGTCCTTTATAATAATTTAAAACCATGCCAGTATTTAGATGGAATTCTCTTAAATTTTCTACTCGAGCTTTCTATTTAATCTCATTCTACCTCTTAAATTTAATTTTATATCACAATGATCTTTCATAATGATAACTGGGGGAATCCATCCTTCTCTACAAGTAGTAGCTTTTATCATCAGTTAGAGTTAAGCAGTAAAAAATTTTCCGTAGATGAAGCTGAAAACACTTTTAAAATATAAAACCTGAACCAAAAATAACAATAAAGGCAATGACTTTTGAGGATAAAATACAGTCATAAATGGCAAAAAAAAGCCAACGCATTTCAACTCAGAGAGAAGAAAAGACAGAAAATAGTAAGTTACCTCCCAGTACAAAACCTTAATTCACTTGGAGAAACTCTTTTTAAGCAGAGAACATATTTGCCTAATTCAAAACATATGCAAATTAAAAGTTATTCACCAAATGGCAGAATCTTTTCTTTTTAGAAACATACCTTGGTTATGTCATTATATAAGAAAGAGTTTACAGAAAAATTGTTCTGTTCAAACCAGAAATCTAACACATGTCCACTGAACCATCTTCTCCCCATCCTTCTCCTGATATAATTCCCAGAACACAGTACTTTTACATGGCAAACATTAAAAACGTAAACAGAAAGAATAGAAATTACAACTCCCAAAGATCATTTTTAGTAGCGCTTTTACTTTGTTTCATCCCATTTCATAACACACACCTTTACTGTATCTAGTTTTCCCTTTGCAATAGAACAATCTGAAGTCCAATTTCAAAGGAACAGATCATGATGAAATTCCATTTTTTATATGACTGGAACACTGAAGGACAAAAATTTGTTGCAGCAAATATAAAACAATGTACACTTTGTTTTCGGGTTTTGCCCTCTCAAAATCATATTTTTAGGTTATTTATTTTTAAAGGAAGAGTTTTGCTGCAATTTTATTTTGTTGGACATTGATGTGAAGCAACAAGTTGGAACCAACCAGACACACTCAAACTGATACTGCTGCACTAAAGACAGCTCAGAGAAGAAAACTTCATGCACAAAAAAGTGCCTAAGACAGATGACATTCCAGAGCCCAACATTAATGAGCCAGAAGGAAGCATCTCTGTGTATGGAGCTTGTCCTGATGTGCTGAACCCACTGGAAGTGAGATATTTACTTGTTTGCAGAAGTACTTGTGATTTTAAGTTGTGTGAGCACGGCATCTCTTGCAGTCCTGCCTCTCAGTCTAACACCGAGTAAACTTACCTTATGAGGTTACATCTTTTATTTTCATTCACTCTCCTCAAGCTGATGACACTGCTGGAGGGAGTGTCACAGATGCCAGGTAGCAGATCAGGAGCTGTATAGTGATTTGGATACAAAGAGGTCGCTGGAATTAATTGATATATAAAATTGGATCCGTGCATTTGAGGTTTACCTTTGATGTACACGTGGTCCCTGATTCATCGTCATCCCTGGTGATTACTGCTCTTAAAACAGAATTTTCAAACATGTGATATTTGCTTCTTTTGGAAATATTCATTCCAGTAACCCCATTTTCTGGGATGCTTGGAGGGGAAAATGACATTCGGGGTGCAAAAATAATTAAAGTGGCTTCAGTTAAAACTTTAGTGATTGTAGAACACTTTTATTGGCATGTATTCAACTAGAAAGGGAAGTCTAATTTCCATACAAAAGTCTTTCAGATGAAATAACAAAACATGAAAGTTAATACTAAAAAAGATGATGCATACTCTTTTTAATTAAAAGAGCATTGCCTAACCAAAGCTGAATTTCTTCTTTTGGTCAAAGGTAGGTTTAGATTGTTTAATATCAGCATAATTCTACATTTGTATGATGATTATTTCAAAATTGTTATCTTCTATGGGAGAAAAATAGCTGGATATTATTATCATTAACAGCTCTGTATGAAAACAATGGTTTGCAAAATTGAAAAAGTAAAATTAAATTAACTACATATTTTCGCTTATGCATATGTATTAAAAAATAAAATTAAGGTTCCCCAGTTTAAATGATTACTGCACTACAAAACATTGGTCAGAAAAGTAGAATATCTACAACTACAGTTTCCTTAACCACACAGAAGTACCACACAATTTCATGAACCCATAATTTCCCAATTTTTTGCAAAAGTTTTGGGGTTTTTTTTACAGACCAACAGCTTGAATTTTACCTTTTATTGTCTCCTGTATGACATATGCTATTTACCCAGCAGTGAATACTCACAGCTAAATGATGAACAATATGTAGTGCAAAAAACAATGCTGAAATGTTGTCAGAGGCATAAATAAAATCTATGTCCAGAATATCAAAGGAAAGTTAAGTACAAGATTTATAAAGAAGTACATCACTCAGCCCCTGGAAATCTCTATTTTATTCAAGAAAAATCCTCCATTCTAGACATATGTTTTGTTATCTCGTGTCTCTGTGTGTGTGCAATGTCTGCTTATCCCATTTCCATCGCCCATTTTTGGAAAAGCAAGGTTGAATTTTCTTCAGGAGGGTGAAGGGACTGAAAAGAAAAAAAAAAAAAAAGAGAATGTTACAGCAGCTTGACAGCAAGAACTTCACAAGAAACAATTATTAAGTAGATCTTAGTAGCAGTTGCAGGACATGTTTATTCACTGATCTTTGCAGGGAAGAGGTTCACACAAAAAGCTACTGCAACAAACTGGACTAAGAGATGGTTAAAGGCACTTGAAACAATAACATTATTCAACATCTAGATGGAAGTGCAGCTGCACAACTGTGTCATTATCACTGCTCTAGCACCCTTACACATGAAGCTTTTGTATTTAACTTGCTAAGCCAGGTCACCATTTAGAGGTTGTCAATTCAGTTATAAATCTAGGTTAAACTGCTTTTAATGCCTCTTCAACCCTTCCTGCAGGACGATGGGGATTTTCTTCCAGGTTTCCAGCCCAGAAGTCCACTGTCTACAATCCCAGATCACCGTGTTTTTATCCAGCCCTTCAGGACCTTTCCTTACATCTTGCACTCTTTACTGTTTATAAACAGAGATAAGACCGGAAAAGCAAGAAATGGTCATCAAAAGTACACTTGTGAGAAAGGTCCTGCTTTGCAAACAGGAGCCTTCCACCCCAGTGACGTGACTGCCAATGCACGATGAGGAAGTTCTAAGCTTGTGGCTCAGGGCTAACTCAAGGCTGGCCTCAGTTTGACCCTGATGTCTGTATGGATTTCCTCTTTGAATATGATGTAGGAAAAATAAGAAGAGCAATTGCTCAAGAAATGATATCTGAATGTCTTGATTCCATCCCTCCCACAAATATTGACATCAATTTCTTGATGCATAAAGTGAGTCCAATTATTTCCATATATATTCAACTAAGATCATCCTATTATGAATATGAATATAACAAAGAAGTGTTTACATTTTTTTCTCTGAACAGTCCTTGACAAGTCACCTTTCTTTCTCACCTGTTAAAGTGGTTCTGGCAGCTCTGGTTTTCAGAGTTATTCCTCATGTACTTGTAAGGGTTGTCAGAAGATGATTTTGACCCTTGCTATCCTATTAAACATAATTAGTCAATTCTGAGCAGCAGCAGCTACAGGTTGTCTGTTTTTCAACCCCTTGGTTGCCTGGCATGATATGAGATTCACCCTTAACATTCAGACTGTCATTTTATATGTCATTATACTTTACTCACACTAATACTTCCTTAGAAATACTACGGAATTAAAGTCTGTGACTAGAAAGTAATGCTTTTCTGGAAAAATCAGGAAAAACAAAACAAACAAAAAAAACCTTAAACCAAAAACCACCCCACCCTAAAACCCAAAGCTTCCTCTTCCTCCACAAAGATTTTGAAGCTCAAGTTTGCATTCTGCTACAACAGATATTTTTTTTATCCTATTGCAATTACATGTGAAATGCAGAAGTGGAACCAGCACCCTAAGAGCTCAGGTGATTGTGAAACATGACTTTTGTCCACTGTGAACTGTTTTGTGGGCAAACTGAAGCTGAAGTACGTGGTGGGAAGTGGGATGGTGTGAAGCCTGGTATTGAAGGATGCCTTCCTTCCAGGATGGGCAGTAACTCGATTTGAAAACTCTCCCTGCATGAGAGAGATTAAACTTGAATTCCCTCGAGAAGAGGAAAGCTTGTCCTCTGACATCCAGCTCTGATTTCTAGGCAAGTATGTAAACAGAGTAAAGGTAAACAGCAAGTTTACCTTTTTAAATGCTGACCCTGTGTTAGGTGCATAAACTGATTTTTCAGAAGCTATTTGACAGCATATTTTGAGCTTTAAGCATATTTGTGAAGTCTGAGAAATATGCAGATTTAGCACTGGGCTGCTTAAACTCTACCAAGTTGCTTAGAAAAGCAGCTCGAGAACTTGAGGAGTTTGCACGGTGTGAGAGCTAAAAAAGAACTTGCAGGTTACACATGGATATACAAATACAGTGCCTTTATATGGAAAATAAGAAAACCCCAAGGCTCTATTTCCTGTGAGTTTCAGTCCTTCTACGTTCAGTTCCAGGCCTGTGAAAAGGATATGGTAGCTTGTTTTTTCAAGTTGCAAGTACAAATACACCAGGATTTTGTATTATTATCTGTAAGTATTCTTCCAGGACCCGGCAACAACATGGATTAGATTCACATTTTAGGTGCTCCAACAAAGATAGAAAAAATTGTAGGTGATCAATGAGCTAAAATTCCCACTTAAATAGCCAATCAAAGTTGCTTACACAATGGTATGGCACCAAAGAGGGAAACAGGGGACACAAAAGGAGAACAAGAAGGAAAATATGCACTGGTTCCTAGACTTTGGAAAAGGATTTTCATGGAGCTGTGGATGATGAAGTCATAATTGTCAGCTCAGCTGGCCAGCTCTTTCCCACTTCCTTGCATCCCCACTTCTATTGCCTCATCTACTGAGTTCCATTTCTCTCTCGTAGCTCTTCTGCCTACCTGTTCCAAATTAATTCACTGTCTAGCTAACTGCAATACTTTGGTAGCAGCCTCTCTTCCTCAGTTATTTCTGATTGTATGAGGAACACAAATGGCATTGAAGAAAAGTTTTTACCTTAAAAAAAAAATAATAAAAAAAGAAATTTCTTTATTTGTGACTAGCAAGCCTAGAAATTATTAGCAAAAACTGAGCAAGCCCGAAAAAAATAGGTGACACCAAGTAAAGTAATTATGATATACTTCCTGCATTTTGTGGCAGAGGAATTTTTGTAACTATAAACAGAAACACACCAAAGCATGATAAAAATATGCAAGCATAAATATTTCAAGATGGCTTGCTGGTTTCCTCCGTACATCATCCCTTCTTATCCATCAAATACCAGCAGAATTCATCTCCTTTTTAGAGAGTTTACCTCTCTCTGGTTGTTACTTAACTCCAAGGTGTCAGCCACTGGACTTATATCTCATAAACAGAAACCCCATGGATTTCACAGAGCTCTCTGAAAAAAAAAAAACCAAAAAAAAACCAACAAAAAAACCCCCAATAAACAAATCCTTCCATACAGAAATTAAAATAGGATTAGTACTCTCTGAACAATTTATTTACGTGGCTAGAAACTAGTTAAGTCTTCCAAATTTAACCAAGATTAAACCTGAAACATTTTTTTGTGAATAGATACCTGCATTTGATAAATTTATAAGGAAATAGAGATTTCAATGGCAAGGTCATATGTTTTTTTCCCTCACTCAGGTTTTTTTCTTTGTTGTGTTTCAACAAATAGGTTGTTATGCATTTTTCAGCTTGATCTGAAAAATCCAGAATGAGATATTTTCCACAACTGAATGAAAGGCAAATGAGATTCCAGATTGAATGTTTTGCCGAAATCAATGAAAACCACACCAACCATTTTGTCTTTCAGAATCACTTAGTTTGTATCATTAGCAATCCTTAAAAGAATGGATTTTGTGTAGCACGTTGGCTGTGATCCATATAATGGAAGAATAGGAATAAAAAATAGCTCTCTGCTTAAGAATGCATTAAATTGATTGCAGCCAAGTTCCTCGATCTTTTAGGCACAGGGCTGCAATTATAAAAAATTAAATTAGCTAATTAATACATTGGTAGTTTAAATTATGCCCTTCCAAAAAGCATTTGAAACCTCATGGAAGGCAGATGAGTGTTCTCTGTGCTATGGTTTTGAAGCTAAAACATCTTAATTTCTGGAACAAAAAAGAGAGTAAAAGCTTGTATCTAAGCACTCATATCAACACTGAGAAAGGCTGAGAACTGACCTATGTGGGCCAGGTCTGCTGCAAGAAGAAGTGGCAGGTGGCCTGTCTGGAGTACTGGCATGTTTTATTTGGAGTGGCAATGAACAACATCGTTATTTTAGCTTTCAGGCAGTGGAAATCTAGTACCGTGCCGAGATAAAACTTTCAGAACTCGCATCACCTACCCCTTCGAGTTGCTCTCTCATCAAGAAGGAGAGGACAGAGAGATGGCACTGTCAGGGTGCCAGGGTGCTGCAGTTTCCCAGCGGCAGGACTTGGACAGAAGGGTGTCATTGCGATGCCAAACACAGCAGCTGCGGCCTCCCAGGTCAGGAGCACACTCCATGCCTCCTGTTGACCACAGAGGGACATGAGGTCTGCTTTTCCTTCCCAGCTGACAAGGGGGAAGAGGTGGGTTCTTGGTTTATTTTGAGCTCTTTGCGTTGCTCTCCCTCACCTGTTGCAGGTGACAGCAAAGGAAACACTGCGTGTGCTCCGTGTGAGATGGGGCTCATCTGGTCTTTACAATGCCTGCAACAAGAAACACAGTCTAACAAAAACAACAGATTTAAGATCTTTGCCTTCTTACTTGCTATTCTAAGGAAAGCCTGGTTTCCATTTGCAAAGCTGACTCCAGACTAAAGCTGTTTTCTGAAAGTTTCTCACCTTTTGACTGAAATTTCCTTTCTGCTTCACAGAGAACACAGAATAAGAAGGGATCTCCTGCTTCTAAAAACCCCAAAGCCAGCACACAGAGTATCTTAATATAGAAAGAGAAGCTGGAGGACCTAAAGGAAGAAAATAAATACACAGAAATATCCAGTAACTAAAATATACTGGAAGGAGATATGACATGGTATTCAGCTATGCATACTTAGGCAGAGAAACTCTGGGTACCAAAGTTATCTCTGTTGTAATAGATATGAATAAAGGTTAAACCAGGAAAATGAAGAAATACAGGTGCTGCTCAACCTTAGGATGCAGAGGGACATTGGAGAGATGAATATCACACCAGAGAAAAGAGTGACTATTAGTTTTCCTGAATGGCAATTTTAAATTATTATTATTCATATCATCAATGCCTTTTCGTATTAATTTGGGCTATCATATACAATAATGTATCATTGTTACTGGAATAATGGTTTAGACTATTAAACCGTTAAAATATTAATTGGACCAAAAATAAATTATTGGCTTCACATATATGGTGTGTTCCTTTTTCCCAACAGTGTTTTGAATGCAGTATATTAACTGGCAACATATAGCCACATCTGTCTCAGTGCAATTTTTGCTTTTTGTTTTCTTGAGTGAGGTGACTTTTGTAAAAAAAAACTCCTTTCTGCTGTGATTCAGCACTCACCAGTAGTCAAAGTAATCTGAATAATGTTACCTTAACTGCTGCTGTTGTTGCAACTGTATGACACTGGTCAGGAGGACAAAGCAAATGGGCATATTTCTTGCTGATTCTAAATCTTTACTTTATAATTCAAGTCCTATTTTTGGGAGGAGGCTTGTTTGGTTTTATTTTTAGAAATTTTAAAGAGAGCAGCAAAGCGGGAAAATAGTAAGAAACCTGGTTTACTCAGTCTAAGTTGGTCCTTCATTCATCTTCTCTCTGACACCAGTGTGTTCGTTTAGCTTGCTGCTCACCAATATCAGAGTACAGCATGAGCAAGAACTGCAGTCTAAGATTTGATTGTTTTCTTCTACTTGTGGACTGACAGCAGACCAAAACTACACATACATAAAACCCCCTTACAACAGAGCTGCTTTAGAATTTAATAAGACACAGTGAATAGACTGAATAAATTATTGAAGACATATAGTCACCCAGGATGCAGTACACATTGTTAGGGAAGTGAGAGAGAGAAGTAGAGAAAAGAGAAAGGTGTTTACTGAATAAAAGTACAGCAGCAATGCCAGTTGCAACAGGCACAGTTATGGCCATATCTTCATCTCTGACCTAAGAAATAGAAGGATATGACAAAGACAAAGTATTAAGTTCACTCTAGAAGCTCTTCAGTCTGCAGAATATACAGCTTTTTCCAGTGGAAAAACTGAAGGGGACATTGACTATATATTGTCTATATACACACACGTTTATGTTTCACTACACAGGAAATATTTGGTATCATTCTCCAAAGTGTCAAGTTATGTGGCAGTTGCAGAATTAAAAATGGCTTTCTGCCTATGCAGTACAGGGCCCCAGCAAGGAATTAGTCATTGACCTTGTGTGTCTTTATTTGGACAGGGTAGTTAGTGATATCGCTTCCAGCAAATGGTTCATCAAGATTTACTAGCAAATGGAAGAAAGGGTGATGACATGCTTTTATTTAAATGTCTGCAAAAGTACTCATTAGAAACAGTTTGTTGAAATTCCTCACAGCAGAGGCTGTGGAGCACTCCAGGAGGTATTACAGAGAAAACACTGCATTCATACTTGGCAATTCAGAGTACTGACAAAGTGGCAACAGCAGGAATACCTCATTTTTGTCATTTTCCTTAACCAAATTGTCTCCCTCAACACTACTCTCTGTCAAGTACTTCTCAGCTTTAAAGAAAGGGGTTGATAAAAGAAAAATATTTCATCTAAATTTCTTCTTTGAGGCAGTGTTCCAAAAAACAAGGTCTCATCAAGATCTGGTTTTTTTTTTATGATCTTTAACTGAAGAGCACTGGCAGGTGAGAACATCATGTTTCATAATACAACTTACTGAAATAAAGAGAAAAATGGGAAGATTTCGAGGAAGTTCAGGGTGCTAAGAGGAATGAACACTCCAAGTGTTTGATTAGTGCATTATCAACAATGATCACTGTGCTCTAACACTATTCCCTTAAGACTTGTCATAATATAAGCAAAATACCTACCAGTTCAAATATATCCAGGTTGCTACCCTTGTATGCAGTGTAGTAATGGCACTTTAGTTGGGAAGCTGAGAACCCCTGGAATACCTGGAGTAGTTCCCTAGAAATCTTTGAATTCAAGATTTCTCATGCTATAAGAGACCAATGGGAGGCTTAATCTGACCCAATGAAATATTAATTTGCACTCTACATGTGCCTCTCAAAACAAGTTAGCCAGTAAAAACACTTCAAGGTAAATAAATACTGGAGAATGTGTGCTGGAAGTTAATTTTGGGCTTGCAACCTTCGAGAGTTTCACTTGACACCCAATATTTCTGTTTTGAAGAGAAAAAAATACGGTTATGAGTGGAAATTTTGTCTGCAATGAAAAACTAACATTCAATTTTTTTTAAATAGATATAATTAATACTCTTAGTAAACTACCTGTGTTCCCAATAAATCACCTGGAAAACAAGAACTTATCAGCAAAATTCCTTACAAAATGCTTTTGCCAAATATTTGAAATTACGACGGTTTTCTGCTCCTCATAGATAACTCATTAAGAGCAAAATAAAATAAATTGGTTACATGAATTATTCATCCCAACTGTGTACACTGTTCCAGTCTAACAGGGAAGCTGCCTTAGTATTTTTACAATCGTAAGCAGTTCACAAAACAATCTGTGCTCTCGTAAAACAGTAAATTTTAAACTACTCAATTTCTCGTTGGCAAAATGTCTGTGGTCATTGAAATGCGTGCAGAGACCTACCATTTGCAGGACATGCCATTAA